GCCCTTTTCTTGTAATACAATCAACAGAAATCAACAACAAAGGATTCTGGTAAATCTGTAAATATTTGAAAATTAAACTACACACTTCTAAATAGTCTTTAGGTCAAAAAGAAATCAGAAGGAAATTAGGAAGTATTTTGAATTGAACGAAAATGAAAACAATGTATCAAAATTTATGGGATGTAACTAAAGCCGTGCTCAGAGGAAACTATGGAGCTTTAAATGCCAAATTACAAACGAGGAAAGATCCCCGACAGTATATTTTCACCTTAAAAATCTAGGAAAAGAAAAGCAAAATAAAGTCAAGGCACACTGAAGGAAGGAAACAGTAAAGGTAAGAATGGAAATGAGTTAAAGAGAAAACAGAAACCCTTACGCAGAATTCGTGCCTCATATTGAAATTACCGAGCATCATAATTCTTCCAAGTGGTAAAGATACCTCAAGACAAATGCTGAGCATAGAAGCCACAGGACATAAATCCTCAAAGTAAAAAGCTAACCTTTTCAAACAATATGGCTTCTCTCTCACTTACCAACTTTACATCTCCCTGTATAGCTCCGGAAGATGGCTGGTTAGCCAGAGACAGGCAAGATTACTCAAGGAAGGAACAACCTAAGACAGGCACAGTCCCAGGGGGGCCCTCAGATGAGAAATTGGGGGTCAACAGAGGTGAGGCTTAGAACCTCAGCCCCCCAGCTTTGAGAGAAATCTACTGCACCCATGGCTGTTTTGTCGCTCTTGTCTAGCTCGGATCAATACCTAGTCTATAGGCACACACCTGAGCGCCTACACCTGTCTTCCTATTGCACTAAATTCTACTTTCCATCTTTATTTTACATCACGAGATTTAAAAAAATAGATTATCTTTTATGAAAAGTTTAACATTGTTAAAAAGCTTTCTATTGGAAACTGTAATCTTATTATGTCTACCTACTACTTAAACATTTTATTAAAAAAAAATAAGGGGGACCTGAGGTGCCAAGATGGTGGCATGAGTAGGTCAGCGGAAATCTCCTCCCAAAACCATATATATTTTTGAAATACAACAAATACAACTATGTCTAAAAGAGAGACCAGAGGATACAGTACAACAGATGATCAGGTGTGTACAACAGTCAGGCTACATCTACATCTGCGAGAACTCACTATCTCACAAAGGGGGTAAGATACAAGTCGCAACCTGGAGGGACGAGCAGTGCCCCAATCCCAGCTCACCAGGAGGAGGAAAGGACTCAGAGTGGGGAGGGAGTGGGAGCACAGGACTGCTAAATAACCAGCCCTAGTACTCCACACCGGGAGTGCAGACACACATTGCATGGTGTGCTGGATATTAGGGAAACGGAAAACTAAAATCTGTTATCGGGTACCCGCAGCCAGATCTGCTGGGACAAAAGAAAAGCAAGTGCTTTCTGAAAGTCTTAAAGAGACAGGGGCCTCAAAGCTGGATGGAAGCATCCCGGCACATTCAGCCCAGCAGTCTGGGAATTCTGAGGGGCTTTAAGCCTCCCAGCACCCTTGGGAGGCAGCACACCTCTGAAACACCCTCACGGCGATAAATAGCCTGCCCTTCATTCGCCCATGGCGCAGGCCTGCCACAGCGGCCCAGCAGCCTGAGAGCGGCCGCGGCCACAGCAGCAACCCGGTGTCTCCTCCCAATGCGCAGCTCCCCGGGCCAGACCAAGAGGCCTCAACCAGCACACAGCTGCATGGCGCAGGCAGAGGAAGCCAGGGCAGGGCGTGAAAGAGCGCCATTCTTGCAGGAGTACACATGGCACACCTGCCACTCCCTGCAGGGCTCTGGGGTACCCGGAGACTGCTCCCGGTATGCGGGCAACCGACACAAGCAGCGGAGAGGGGCAGGACAACCATAGAGAAGGAAGGGCCTTTGTTCTTCCAGCTGACACAAGCACCACCAGCCTGCAACTACCTCTATCGCCATGAAAAGGCAGAAGAAATTGGTCCAGTCAAAAATTAAACACAAAACATCTGAGACAGGACCTGGGGAGACAGATATAACCAATCTCCCTGACAAAGAATTCAAAACAAAGCTCATGATCATGCTGATTGACCTGCACAGAAATATGCAAAAGCTAAAGGATCAAGTTAGGAGGGAGAATACAGAAATAAAAAAAATCTCTGGAAGGACTTAAGAGCAGACAGGATGAGATGCAAGAGGACATTGATGTAATAGAGAGGCTGACGCACAGAGAGATTAAAGGATCTCCAAGAATGAAAGAATATTAAGAGAACTCTGTGACCAATCCAAAAAAAACAATATCCGAATTATAAGGGAACCAGAAGAAGAAGAGAAAAAGGAATAGAAAGTGTCTTTGAAGAAATAATTGCTAAAAACTTCCCCAAACAGGGGGAGGAAATAGTCTCTCAGACTATGGAAGCCCACAAATCTCACAACACAAGGGACCCAGGGAGGACACCAACACATACAATAATTACAATGGCAAAGATCAAAGACAAGGACAGAGTATGAAATGCAGAAAGAGAGAGAAAAAGGTCACCTACAAAGAAAAACCCATCAGGTTATCATCAGACTTCTCAACAGAAACCGTACAGGCCAGAAGAGAATGGCATGATATATTTAATGCAATGAAAGAGAAGGGCCTTGAACCAAGGATACTGTATTCAGCATGATTATTTAAATATGAAGGAGGGATTAAACAATTGCCAGACAAGCAAAAGTTAAGGGAATTTGCCTCCCACAAACCACCTCTACAGGGTATTTTAGAGGGACTGCTGTAGGTGGGAGCACTCCTAAGACTAAAGAGATGTCACCAGAGAAAATAAAATCACAGCAAGGAAAGCAGACCAACCAAATACTAACTAAAGGCAAAAAATAAAATCAACTATCCACAAACACAGTTAAAGGAAACACAAAAGAGCACAGACTAAAACAACCAACATATAAAGAATGGAGGAGGAATAAGAAGGGAGAGAAATAAAGAATCACCAGACAGTGTTTATAACAGCTCAGTGAGTGAGTTAAGTTGGACAGTAAGGTAGTAAAGAAGTTAACCTTGAACCTTTGGTAACCACGAATCTAAAGCCTGCAATGGCAGTAAGTACATATCTTTCAATAATTGCCCTAAGTGTAAATGGACTGACCGTACCAATCAAAAGACACAGAGTAATAGAATGGATAAAAAAGCAAGACCCATCTATATGCTGCTTACAAGAGACTCACCTCAAACCCAAAGACATGCACAGATTAAAAGTCAAGGGATGGAAAAAGATATTTCATGCAAACAACAGGGAGAAAAAAGCAGGTGTTGCACTACTACTATCAGACAAAATAGACTTCAAAATAAACAAAGTAACAAGAGATAAA